CTTACTCTTCCAGAGCACTTGAGTTAACCCCTGGTTTTTGGTGGGGTTCGTGTTGCTCAATTAGTTTTCCATATAGTGTATTTATTAGTACTTTTCTCGTCCTTGTTTTTTCTTCATGGCGTTGTCAGACTTCTACGATTTATGATATTTGAATGTCCCCTTGGTATTTCCCGCCTCTCTTTTTAAGAAGACAAGGTTACATATTTTCATAAACATTTAGGTGTTACGATTAGCAGAGATGCAAAATGGAGCACTCATTCCGAAATTATAAAAAAGAATGTATCGAAACAAATTAATGTTCTTAGAAAATTAAAATACATAAAAAGCAGAAAGAACTAAGAAAAGCTGTACTTTTCCTTTATTAAACCTTTACTTGATACTGCATGCGAAGTTTTGGATATTATGGGTGTAGGTTATTGTAACAATAGAGCAACAGCAGCTTGAGGCTTCCAGAATTATAACTGGTCTCCCTATTTTAACTAGTAGTAGATTCATTTATAATAAAATTGGTTTCTGGACGTTCGATGAACGAGGAGAAAGGAGGAAGTTACAATTATTTTATAATATTTAACATAACAATGCACTAACATATGTTTGGAATTTAATTCCCCCAACATTTCAAATGACAGATGTTTACACCTTACGTAATGGATATGATACAATATACCATTTTGTAGACTCTTATTTAACCAAGAATCGAACATTTCTGTAACGAAACGATTGTGGAACAACATTTATGTTTCCACTCGAAATATATACTGTCGAGGTAAAATTTTAAACCGAATTGATTAATAATAAATTGAATTGAAATCTCAAAATATCATCACATTATAAATTTGGAAATCATAAACTCAACATCATTTTGACACAACTTCACCATAGCTTTGATGTCATTTCAGATCCACCATGTCGTTGTGGTACTTACCATGAAGATTACTTCTCTTTTTGATGTCCTAGGTATGCTAATAAAAAAGTATACTATGTTGTATTATGAAATTGTAATCAGAAAACTGTTTACTAAATTTAGATATCTTAACCTCTGGCCATATATCCCTTATTAATGATAATGAAATCATTTCTTAAAAGTGCATATAAATCTATTAAAAAACCAAAGAGCTTTTCTAAATGTGAAAAATACCATTTTAATTCGCATACTGAGTACAATTATTCACATCACAATTTTGACATAACATAATCCAACAAATAATTTGTACTGTCTTTTTTTTTAATTCTTTTTTATATTTATGTTATTTTAAAATAACATGTTTTAAGTTTTTATTCAGCTCCTTCATGCGAGACAATTTAGCAAGTACTGAGATAAAAAAAAATAAAAACACACGCTGAGAATTTAAAATTACATACTTACATTTGTGAGCACATCTTATGAGTAAATATCTAGTTAGCATACCTACGGTGCTTTACCCAAAACGGGACCATTTTACTCAGAGTTCCCACGCATTTCTAGTCAATTTACTGTCCATAGGCAAAGGCTTTAAAATTCCTTGCCATAGGTAAGTAATTATAAGTGAAAACTTAATTTCAATTTTAATACATATATCAGTTTTTAAAAAAAATCGAGTTTGAAAATGCACTTGTTAGTTATTTGATAAATGTAATGTTTTCTTTAGTATTTTATAATAAATATACTGATGAGTAAATTCCTGATAACTGATATTTATAGTTTGTTCTTATGTTGTGCTGTTACACCACTATCACAGGTTATATTGAGTGTTAGGCACAGGCTAACATGTTACACCACGCCACATTCTAGAAGTACCTGTCCAATGTCAAGAGCCTGTATTTGAATGGTTGTCGTTTGTTGCTGTTTATCATATTTGTTTTTCGTTAATTGTTTTGTACAGTTTGTTCTAGAGTTCTAGAGTTAGGCTGTCCAAGGTTGGAGTAGGGTTGGGCGTTTGCTAACATGTTTAACCTAGCAACAATGTTTATGTGCCTGTCCCAAGACAGAAGCCAGTAATTCAGTGGTTGTTGTTTGTTGCTGTATATCATATTTATTTATTGTATATGAATCATGCTGTTAGTTTACTCGATTGAATTGTTTAACATATCGGTCATTTCGGGGCCTTTTATAACTTGCTTTCCGAAATGTTTTTTTTTATTGTTTTTCATTGAAGGTTGAACGGTGACATATAGTTGTTAATCTTCTACGTCATTTGATCTCTGGTGGAGAGTTGTCTCATTGGCAATCATACCCCATCTTATTATTATTATTATTTTATTTTCTAGTGTGGGCATATAATATAAAAATAAGAAGATGTGGTATGATTGCCAATGAGACACAAGAGACCAAATGACACCGACATTAACAACTATAGGTCACCGTACGTTCTTTAACAATGAGCAAAGCCCATATCGCATAGTCAGCTATAAAAGGCCCCGAAATGACAAATGTAATACAATTCAAACGAGAAAACTAACGGCTTAATTTATGTACCAAATAATGAACGAAAAACTAATATGTTACACAGCAACAAACGACAACCACTGAACTACAGGCTCCTGGCTTGGGACAGGAACATACAGAATGTGGCGGGGTTAAACTAGTTAGATGGCATCAAACCCTCCCATAACCTGGGACAGTGGTGCAACAGCTCATCACAACAACACATTATACAATACAATAAACGAAAAACAAATGTGAAAAACAGCAAAATATAACAACCACCACTCAATTTCAGGCTCCTGACTTGGGACAGGTACATATAGAATATGGCGGGGTTAAACTAGTTTGAAGGCGCCAACTCTCCCTCTAACCTGGAACAGTGGTGTAACAGTACAACATATATAAGAAAAAACTATAAAAATCAGTTGTAAAAGGCTTAACTCATCAGATGGATACAAATAGAAGGACATCTAACAAGAACACAGAGTAGACGTGGCAGGGTACTTATACATCCCCACAACAAAAAGACACTAATTACAGATCTAAGAGTACTCGCAGTTAATGACAGCTAGTTCAAAGCCTATAACAACTAATAAAAAAATCATGCATCTAAGACTAAAATATCAATCAGTACACATCCAACTTCCAATGGATTTAGTGTAAAGACGTTATTAACAGTCAGAAAAAAAATGAACTTGTGCAATGCCAAGATACAGGTATCGACAGATTGTAGAGCCATGAATGTGCATATGTATATAAAAAATAATATTTAGTTTGTTGATGTGGAATATAAACACAAAACTTAGTTTAGTATACTATTAGAACGTGCAATTTTAGTAGTATTCGCAGAAAAAAAATCACATTGTAATTACATATTTTTTCCCCTTTAGGGCATATTTATCCCATCGAAAACATTGATTGAGAAGTTTATCTAATTCATGTACGGGAGGAGAAATGTTTTTGGAAATTTAGTAAAGAGAGGCAGCAGTACTAAACCGATAATAAAATCTCATAAATCGATTAAGAAAACAAATCTAGGTAAGAAATAAAAATAAAGCAATTGCATGAACTCCAAAAGGAATTCGACAGGGACAGGGAAAGCCTTACTATGCATACAAAAATTAACCGCCATATGAATCAACACTCATTCAAACTATCCCAAATATCGAGTAGGACAGGATTGCTTATCAAGCTCGTACAGTGTGAACAAGCACGACCGAAACTTACCAATTGACATATTTTAACGCAATTCGATGGGACAGAGGTTATGCTTACTACTGAGAAATTGGAAGTTGACAATTGGAGAGTTAAACTCATACATTCTAATTGGAAGTCGTCCATATGTGTCAGTATCGAGAAAAAAATCAAGATACGAAGCAGACCTTTTAGTTTCAGTAGTATCCTTAATCTCAAGTTCACTGTGATGACAATGTATGAGATGCAAGCACTCACTGAAAAGTTGGTTATTGAGTGACAAGACATCAATATATATATTAATGTAAAATTAAAAGTAAAGAACTTGAGTATTGTACTTTTTGCTTTTTCAATGTTGGTGTTGTTTATAACAGTAACAGCCTCGTCTATACTTTGTCATGACAAACGTGTTTCTATTTCAATTTTTCACATTCGGTCAAGTTTCGGGATTAGAACATTTACCTTACCGATGGTTTATTAATTTGGTGATGTCTTAGATAAAAGTCAATTACTAATCCGCTATTTGGTAATACCATATCACTTAATACTTATCAACAAATTTTATAGGACTAGCGCGACGGGTGTCACATGTGGTGCAGGATCTGCTTACCCTTCCGGAGCACCTGCGATCACCCCAAGTTTTAGGTGGGGTTCGTGTTGTTCAGTCTTTAGTTTTCTATGTTGTGTATTGTGTACTGTTATTAGTCTATTGGTCTTTTTCTTTTTTAGCCATTGTGTTGTCAGTTTATTTTCGACTTATGAGTTTGAATGTCCCTTTGGTATCTATCGCCTATCTTTTGCAAGATTTGTATTTCATTTTGTCTTTGAAAAGCTTTTTGTATGAACTTTGCTTCATACGAGTACAAGAAAGTCGGCCGTTAGGGGTGGACAGTTAGTTCACATTGAAATATCAATCAATAAAGCTGAACCAATATGTTGTTGATAAAAAAAAGTCCAGCATTTTGATGATATTATCCTAGGTGTTTTTGTAATTGGAAACAATGTGGTTTTTCAGAAGGTAAGATTTGAAAGTAAGTTAAAATCGGAAAATATACTAGCTTACAGTAACTTTCAATACTCCTAGATCTGTGATTTGTGTCTTTTGGTTATTTGGTTTTTATCATTAGTGTCGATCTGAAGAGTCAAGCCCCTTTCTAACTGATTTTTTAAATTTTGTTCTTATGTTTTGTTGGTATACCAATATCATAAATAAGAACGAGGGCTAAGCATTCACACACATGTTTAACTCCGCCTATTTTGTGTGTGTCTCGTGTGGTTGTCAAGCCAAGAATCTATAATCAACTTGTAGTTGTTGTTTACTGACCGACATTATCGTTTTTCATTGTAAATATAATATATTTTAAAATAACAATAAGCAATAGAAGAAGAAGATTACAATAAACAAAGAATAGTAAGAATTTTATAACAAAGTTTAACTGTAAATATGTTGAAAAATTATGAATTGAAAGAAACTGCAACAGGAGGGTTGTCATACGAATTTTTAACACCGCTGATCACTGCAGTCCAGAATAATCGTTTTCCTATTCCTTTTGTGTGCGATAAATATGGCGTTGTATAAAGTAATGTACGAAGGGCACTTGTCATATGTTTGGAGTCAATCTGTTTTACCATTATCAGAACCATCGCATTTTTTCCTCGTCGGCGTCTCCTTTCTTGGACAAGATTAACTTCCCACTGATTCAATTCACTTCTAGCAAAGTTATTTGACATAATTACTATAAATTTCCAGCTTTTATTCATAAACTTTTCAATATCGTCAACAATATATTCGCCCACCGTAAAATCTCTTAGATGTATACAGACTTTAAATCCTTCGTTTTCAAGGCGTTTCAAAAGAACATCGTGGACCCATTTACGATCTTTCTCGCAGTAAACAACATAAACATCAAATTCGTAAGTTCCTGGTAAATCTGATCGAACAGATCTAGATCTACGCTGTCGACGTCGATGAAGGTGATAGAGGTATAACGCATTACGAATATTGTTTTGACATTTTAAAGTCACACTTCCTATTAAAACAATCAATAAAGCACAGAATAAAACAGACCCAATAAAAATGTTAGTAGGATCTGAGTCTTTGCACGACTCTTTGGTTGGCATGTATTCAACTATTTTAACGTCCTTCAGTTCCTCTGGAAAGGAACACATGTAGTTGTCAGGCCACTTTACCAGTTTTGAAGATAAGTTGGAAGCACGGAGGTGATCTACAAACCATTTATTACTGCAAATACACCAAAATGGATTGTACGATAAGTCTAAACTTTTCAGAGATGCAAGAAGATTCTCGGGAATTGAAGTTTTATTGATAAGATTGATTGAATTTCCATTTAAATTTAAAACTTTGAGAGATGTTACATTATGGAAAAGTATTGGATTCCATTTGCTTATACTATTTCCTTGTAATATTAAAGTATGAAGAAAAGGTTTGTTTTGGAAAAACATGTCTGGCATGGTTGACGAAAAGGTCTTTTGCAAAATTAAATTCCGTAAATTGTTCAAAGGTGCAAACATTTGGAGAAAAATAGATTCATTTTTTGGCAAATAGTTCCTCGTCAAATCGAGGTAAGTGAGGTTCTGCAAAAATCGGAAAACCAATTTTGAATCAAATCTATCCAAGTCGGTAAACTTGAAGTCATTCTGTATAAATTGTAACTTTTGCAAAGAAACACAGTTGAAAGCACGACTTTTAAGTTTTCTCAGTTTCATAAAACTTAGTGAAAGCCTTTCTAGACTTATCAATGGTAAAAATATATCATTGCTGATCTCAATTATTCTATTGGTGTTCAGTTTTAACTCCCGCAAATTATTCAAACACCTGAAGGATCTAGAAGAAAGCGACCTTATAGCATTGTCAGATAAAGTCAACTTTTTAAGATTTGGAGCAACAGTTGAATCATTTTTGGAACAAAAATTCGGAATAATGACAATTTGATTTGCAGTTAGATCCAATTCTTCAACTGTTTGGAAACCATTCGTTATTATCAAATGTTCAATTCTATTCCCTGTGCATGTGATTTTTCCAACTTGATTAAAAGGCTCTAATAAAGTTGCATCAAAAGTCAAAAGAATATTGGAGTTCAAAGACAGTTTAGAAATATTAGCTCCAGCTAAATATTTGAAAAGAGTGTTTGGAATTTTTTCCCATCCATTGTTTTCGAATCTCAATTTTTCAATGGTAGACACATTTACGCTCCGAAATGATGTTTCAAGGGTCGATAAATTAAGTTTCTTTTCATATGAAATTTCAAGTGTTATCATGGTATTCAGAGATTTGAACGTGTCATTTGCTACCATCATAATCCTATTATCTTGCAGTAAGAAATGTCTGATATCATTATCGGTTACATTATAAAACGTATCCTTGTCCAGATTGAAGAAGGTATTTGACTTCAGCAGTAGTGTAAGAGAATATTCTGGAATTTTTGGAATGTATGTTAATGAAAAACACGATGTCTTTAAGCTATTTTGGCTGCACTTACAGAAATTTGTTAAACAACCTGTAGTTCCATCGACTAGATAAATCACAAAATAAAATCTTAACAAACAAACCATCATGTGTTCCTCAGTAAACCGATAAAAACTCTGTGTTATAAACATTTGTGTGAAATATATGCTTCCTGAAGCTATTTAAATTGAAATGGTATAAAGCTGAAAAATATTATATTTTATATAATTTAAAACTTTAAAGCATGCAACCTTCCTGTAAATGATGGAAATACAACTTATATATGTTGATCTTTATAATAATGTAGCATTTTGTGAAATCCTTTGGAAATACCCATTTTATGTTCCTGCTTATAATAATTGAATAAAACATTCTTTCCTGTTGAAGTATTAAAAAAAATCTTTTGAAATAGAAATGGAATTAACGGATCATCAGTGACTTTCAAGACAATTTCTTCCTTTTTCCTAATTCAACTACTGACGTGTATTTTATAATATTACATTTGATGAACTATGACAGTAATTGTTCGATTTTTTTTTGTCTTTCACGCATCGATGTTTTCCAATGCAAAAATGTATATCGGTGACAGCTTCAGACTCAAAATTGCATTTAGGATTGAGCTTTGAACTTGTGCTGAAAACATAAAACTTTTTTTTTATTAAAACGGCAATAAAAACCTGTTCCTTTACGTTGGGTTTTGTCTAGAAGTGCAAGTGGGGATCGTGCGTCGTAAATTAATACACCTTGTCTAATTTTAGTCGACTTTTACATTCCCCAACCGGATGTTCTTTATTTATAATCAACATGTGATTCGTTTGATCTCAGTTTTCAATTAGGTCAATATACAATTACGATGGCAAGTATACTTGCTTTCCTCTAAGTTTGCTATTGTGACGTCACGAAATAAGCGACCATTCGTGATGACGTCACATAAAACGAGGACATCTCTGAGCAGATCACTGAAAATAGAAAGATAAAGTGTGACTACATTTGGGCTAAAGAACCTTGTTTCTGAAGTACACGCTATCTATTCATCTCTCGAAAATAATCATCCGCTTATATTTAAAAAATACACAACAAAAATATTTTAAAACATTAATAAGTGTTAACTGCTAGTGACATTTTGAAGCAGAATTGCCGTAATCGACCTCAACCGAAGATGTATCAGTATATAGATCAACGTTGCAAATTTCCGGCGCCGAAAATGTCAACGTAAAATGTCATTAAAAGTTAAAAGTTGGACCCTTTTCTTCTTTTTAGCAATTTTTTGTATCTAGATGACAAGGAAGTCATACGATATGTTGAATCCGTATTAACGTTTTACCAACACAGGCCAAGCTTGGTAAAATCACAGCCCTATAGGCCTACATTTTATTGATTTGTTGATAAATATACATCTCTGACATCGTACAAGTTTCGTGGATCAATTTTTATTTCGTGAATTGTTACTGACCGAATAAAATAAATATAGTCAGTAATTAATAAATACTACTGAAATCAAAACAGTAAATATAACATCAAATAAATTCACATAAGCAAGATAAAAATCTTAACTGGGAAACACGTCTAATCGAATCGGCCCTGTCGTGCTGAATGGTTATATCCCATGAAGCGCGCGAATACAAATAACGGTCTATGGGTAGACAACTAGAAGAAATTAATTTCAATCTAATTCAGTTCCTTCAAACGGTTGAAATTACATTTCTTCTACGATTACTAACGCCCATAGACTACCCAACACTATACACATAACACTAATAAAAACTAAACTAAAGTTCAAATTGAATACCCACACGACAGTGCCATGTGCTGAACTACAAAGAACGGGCAATACAATTTTTATCTTGCTTATAGAACTTAATTCACTTTCAAAATAAAAAGTCATAATCAGGTTATAAACCTAAATTTTCAGAAACAATTAATCTGTCTTTTAAAGAGTCTTTAATATAACCGTCCTTGGCGGTCTCTGAACGCCATCTACCATGTCTTTTGAACAATCGATCGAAAACGCCTAAATTGGCACAAGTTGTAGCTCCACCAGACCGTAAACTGTGCAATCCATATTTTTTAATATCTGACACAAATGGTTGAAAAGCTCCAATAAATAATTCTCTCATACGTGTATAAGACAGTGGTTTGTTATCCTTCCGAAGTATATATCGATCCTTGAATTTTGTTAAATTTCTAAAAATAAATTCATCTGAATCCGGCGAAATATCAGCCCACAACAAATATAACTTTAAATTCTTTACTGGACAAATATCGGAATCCATACAGGCTATTACTTCAGAATTGCTATCACGATAAATATCAGTTTTACTTTTCGGAATAAATATAGATACATAACCTAATTCAAACTTGATATCACATATCCGTATATTTAATCACTCGGACACTTTCAAAAATCCCGAATAAGCAAGTAAACACGCGCAAATAATACGCTGTGAAATAACATTGTATTCCTTAAATAATGAACTATACATTTTAGTTAGAAGCTCAGGAGTAACTGGTTCCTTTTTCTCAGTTCGTATAGCTAAGCGCCGTTTTGCACCTTCTAAAACATTTTTCACAACTACATTTTTGGTAGGAGACGTTTGACGAATCATATGATGTGCCCATTGTATACTATAAAATGCTGAAATAACCGGACTAGCAGTGTTACTGTTATAAACTAATGAAGATAAATATAGTGCAACGTGCAAAGGTTTTGCCGGTAAAATATCACAACCATTTATACCGTTATGAACGGCCCACTTTTTCCAACGGATAAATCCTGCATGATAAGTGTTAACGTTACTGTCAGCTTTAGATTCTCAAAGTAAATCCATAAGAACATCAACATTGGTATGCAGAGTTGGTGGCAAAAAATTAATCTCAGATTCATAAGCCTGCAAAAACACATGTATAAACAATAATAAAACAATAATAGCATCTTAAATGATGGAAACTACCAACAGAAAAATACTTGTTAGTACATCTCACAAGACTATACACAATAGTCTTAAACGCTTAACATACGCATTTGTATTTGTTAGTATATTAGTTCTCAACAAGGCCAATTATAGCCTTAATGCCAAAATCTGAAACCAATTCAGATATGCATTGTAACGTTAGTACACAAACAAGGCACTTATACAGCCTTTAAAATATCTTCTTATATCTATTTAAAATATCATCTGTAAAATTCAGATAAGCATAAACAGCTTCATAAACAAAATAGGTTTACAACCTTCATACATATCAGTATTATATTCTGAAATCTAGCCTCAAAGCTAACATCTTAAATGTAAGATCAGTATTACCAAAAATGGCTTTCTTGCTTTTACCAGGAGTATAAAACTCCTTACCGCTTGGTAATTCTACATGTGCAATAACTTGATCTGTTAAATCGCCCCCATTTGGGCATAGCATAGGCCAATAACTTGCGGATGGCCAACAAGGAACAATCAATGTACCTACAGCGTTGCATTGTCTCATGTAATTAATAACACGTGGTATAAGAAATACAGGCGGTACAAAAAGACCGTTAACCCCAAACCAATTAACTGTGAAAGCATCAATACCAGAAGAATTTTCATTCCAAAATCTTGAATAAAATACCAGTAACTTGAAATTGTGATCAGAAGCAAACCAATCTACTTCATGAGGTCCCCATAAAGCTTCTATCAATTGAAATATATAATATGATATACCCCAATCATCATGATCAACGATGCGACTCAAAAAGTCAGCTTTTTCGTTTAGTGTCCTAGGTATCCAAACTATATCAATATTGACATTGTACTTCAAACATGCGCTAAATATGTCCAACGCTAAATTTTGTAAAATAGTTTTTGTACTGCCCTTGCTAACAATGCTCACAACATTCTGGTTATCTGTAAACCATTTGACCTTTTTTCCAGATATAAAAATAATTAATGACAGCAAAACTTTCTTAACCGCTGAAAGTTCCTTCCAAGTTGAACTATTACTACGTTCTGATTCAACCCACATACCATGTGTAATGTTTTGTGGTGTTTCTATAATATAACCTCCAAAGCCTGTATCACTAGCGTCACTATAGATAATACTATGACATGATTCATCAACACTAAAATGTTTTACATTAACTTCACTAATATACAGTTTCCAGAATTGTAACTGTTCAATACTAGATTCAGAAAGTCTAATATAAGAATACCAAGACGCAGATGTGTTCACGTCTATAGTTAAATGTTTAGTCATTAAATAAACTAAATTTCCAATAACTAAGTATGTAGATATTATCTGACCTACAACAGATGCAACTTTTTTCACGTACACGCTTTTAGGCCCAGTTAAACAAGATATAATGTCATCAATAGAATGTATCATCTTATCTATTTTATTATCTGGTATTTTATAAAAGCCATACTCTGTATCAATAAATGTTCCTAACCAAACCAGACGTTTAGTAGGTTCCCACAATGATTTTTCGGCCTTAGGTACAAAGCCACTTTTAACTAAATCTAGCTTAACTTGTTCTGACACAATCTTACACATATCTTTATCTTGTTCAATACCTAACCCATCATCAAGATACATAATGACTTGTTTACCTTCAGATCGCCATTTCTTTACAAGCGGCCTAGTCAGTTTAGTAAAAAGAAAACAAGCTGTACTTAATCCAAATGGTAAAACAAGAAATTTGAAAAATGTAGGACATCCATTAATGGTCCATGAAAAACCTAAATACTCTGTGTGTGGTTCAAAAATATCAACATGGTGATAAGCTGAGTGAACATCAAACTTAAACATAGAATAGTTCAATTTAATATGCTGTTGAGCAGTTCTCATATCCTCAAATTTAACGCTCTGTTTCCATAAATGTTTATTAACCGCTCTCAAATCAAGTATCAATCTTTTCTTTGAATTAGATTGAACTGATACAGTAAGAGGATTAACAACAAAAGGTCGCTTATCACACTGAACTATCAAACCTCTATGTAATAAATCCTGAAAAGCTGTATGCACAAAATCGGAATTTTTTAAAGCTGATACATTGTTACATAAATACGTAGACGGAGGAATAGAATAAAATGGTAACTTATAACCATCTCTTATAGTGTCAATAATATAATCATAAGCACCAATATTTATCCAAAATTGGATATTTTCCTTCAGCCTACCCTTA